GCTTGTTAAAGAAACTAAATAATCAGCAGCATCAATATGAAAAAATTCACGAAGACGACGAAAGACCCAGGGAGCGTAATCTTTAAATTTGAAATCATATTTGGCTGATGGAGTAAGCTCGTTACCCGTTCTATAAAAATAAAATAAAATAAATTTTACTTAACAAAAATAGTAATTTACTAGGATGTTGGTATATTTTAAAGGTAATAAGATATCATACATATCGAAAGCTAATTTATGAGCAGCTTTGAAATCCGCGTCAGTTAATTCTCTCTCAATTTTAGCATTACAACGTGACACCTATTAAAATAAAAATAAAAATAAAAGATTATGTAACGAAAATTTTAAAATATTAAAAAGAATACAAGATTTATATAATAAAGTTACTTACACCAACTCTTATTCCTGTTAGCATGTTGTACATTAATACATAATTGACATGGCCTTCACCTATTCTTGTTCCGATCATTGGACCTTCTTCATCGTCACCTTTGCCCTTTTCACGAGTTTTTCTTTTTGATAATCGTCTTTTTACATTTTCAGCCCATTTTTGAGTTTCTTTGTCTAACATAATGTCTTCACTCTGAATTTCAGAGCTATAAGTGTTACGACGCCTAAGCATACCACTACTCTTACGATTTCGTTCCAAAGTATCTTCATGAGATTCATTTTCAGCTGAAATGATTGGTAAAGACCTTTTGGGTTTCCCTACGGTTGTCGCAGATCGATGTGGTGGTTTATTATTTGAATCATCAGCCAATGCACTAGTGCTAGTTGGCCTTCGTTTCGTAGGATTTTGAGTAATAGGTGTATTGAAACTTCGACCATTTAATCCTTTAGGACTGTCATTAATTAGTGGCTCAATAACATTTGTTGGAGGAGAATGTCGTCGTTCGACAGACTGTGTAAATTTTTTTTCCACAGTAGTTTCATTTACTCCTTTAAAATTTGGACAAAAAAAAAGAGATATGAAATATAAATTTAAAATAAGACCAAAGTTCACCTAAAAATAATAGTGATACATACCTATATTTAGGTGCTTTTGCACAAGAATTTCATTAGCCACCGCCATCATAGTTGCAAGAGTTAATGCTTAAAATATGATAAAGTATCTATGTAAGGTATAAAATTTAAAATATTTATTATATTACAAAGACAGAAATAAGTAGTTGGTCGAAGTTCACTATTTTTGAATAAAGATTAGAGGTGAAGTTAGATGAATATCCACATACAAAAGAAAGTCACAAAACATAAAGTTACTCGGTTCAAAAAAAAACAAAAAACAAACACACACCAACTTTCAGAGTAAAGTTAAAATAAAAAGAAGATTTAAAAGGGCTCAAGCCTTTTTCAACAGAATTGCGTTTGTAAGAAGGTGAAAAATAATGAGAAGAGATCAAGATAAATATATAAAAGGCAAATTAGATGACTTTGGTTGGTGTAATGGTAAATGTTTTTGTATAAATATAGTAACAAATTTTAAATGTGCATGTTATTTGACAAATAACGTTTTACATTATATCATTGTGCTAATCATGTGACAAGAAATGTAGAGCGAAAGAAATTTAAAAATAGCAAATGCAAGTAATAATATCTTTTTTTTTTTATAATACTGCCTTAATCAAAAATTATTAGCAAAGTATCATTATTAGATACTGTATCTGGTATAATTACAATAAATTTTAATTAACGCTAAGATTTTTTAACTGTAATTACTTATTTTTAAATAATTAAATTATCGTTATGTTATTGTTTTTATTATATACATAAATATCGTATGTACACATGTTTCGATTTAAATAGTGCCAGTTAGGATGAAACATGTTACACTACCTGTGAATCTTGTGAATCTTTGTGTGAATAGTAAGTGTTAGAGTTACCCTATGGTAAATAGTATGTTTTCAATATCGAGAACGAACTATAATAATTGTTAAACATCATAATAGGACTTTCGGGCTTACAAAAGTTTATTTCTTGCCGAACTCAATCACTATAAAATCTTATATGATTTAGTCCGGTAAATTATAAATTTTAAAACCCGAAATCTGGTTTCCCCTTGGCGTCACTCATTTGTACTAGTTTTTTTTTTTTTTTTTATAATCTTGTGAACATCACCGGCTTTCATACATATTTATAGAATGGTTTGCTGATTTATTCGAGAATATGGCAAAATTTATGTCAGCTTTTCGTGTAATCATATAATTAATAAATTAATCACAATTCTATGGGTCTTTTAGTTTTCGATTAAGAATTTTCTGTTTTTTTTTTTTGATTCTAGAAAGAAAGTAATTAGTTACATAACAAAA